TAAATACAACTGTCTTATCTTAAAGTGCCAATTGCTACTGAATGGCCAAGTGGGTTTCTTTATCCTAAGAATTTTGTTTTCTGCAATTTCTTTTGGATTCTCTTTTTTTTGTTTGTTTTGTTCGATAATTTTCCTCTTAGTTAGGCTGACTATTTTCTTTTGGGTTCTATTTGTGAATTATTGTCGCCTCTTCAACTATCGAGGCCACCATTTTTTAGGTATTTTTCTAATCTCTCATTTGTTTACCCAATTCTACTTTTGGATTTGATGTTGTGATGATGTGTAATAATGTTTAGTATTCTTTAATTTTATTTGAATTTGGGAAATCAAATTATCCAATGGAAATAAACTGTTACTTTACATCAAGTTTAGAATGATAACTTTGAATGCCCACGTTATGATTAATGCCTCTATTAGTTCATTCGAATTTGATGTTCTCTCATTTGGTCAAGAAGTATATACAATTGTCTTTATACTTAAGAGAAATTAAGTACATTGGACAACATCATTCGTCCTCTTTGTTTTTTTAATTACTTTTTTAATCTATTTTTCCCCTCAATTTTTTTGCCATGCCCTTTCATTTGGTTTTTTTTTATTTTCCTACAGGTTTTCATTTGAAAGGAAAATATTGCATTCGTATGAATTCTGCGTTGCTGCTCAGGTCTATGATTTTTTTTTTACCCTTGCTCAGGCAGTACTTTCTTTTCACTGCATATTGATATTAACTTTTTGTTTGGAAATGCCTCTGTTTTTCTTTCACTTGCTGAAAATATCTTTGCCAAAATTTTCAGGCCTTTTCTTTGTGTTTTCTTATCTTCCTCTTTCTTTGTCCAATTATAAAGCAGTTCTTCGTTTTTGTAAAGACCTTTTCTTTGTCCAATTATGCCTAACCCAACTATTTCTAATTTAAATGCACTCCTTTTATCGCACATTGTATCTGATAGAGCAGATGAAAAACAGATTATACATATAATAAAATAAAAAAAACTCCATCTTACCTTTGGTTGTGTCCCCCATTTGTTTACTTATATGTTCTATTGTGTCTTCATCAAATTAATCACAGCAAATTATTACATCATCATCGTAACGGTTATAAGTGATTTATTGTTTTTGTTTTTACATACACATTTGTTTTTTACTGTTGTTGCTAGTGATTTATTTGAACTTCTGACTCTATCTAATTAGTATCGCTGAGATATATTTGATGTATGACTGAAGTTTGAAAAATGGGTTGGTTTCAATACACTTATTTTAGTCTTATTGCATCTGATAGAACAGATGAAAATAGAGGGAAACAAAAATTTCTTTTGCACCTTCAGGATCACAAATGAACTCTATCTCAGTTTTACTTATATGTCCCCATTTTGTTTTCTTATATTTCCGCACTAACAACTCTTTTTTTTTTTTCCAGAATTTGTAGGAACTAGCTGAAACCGTAAACCTCAACATAATGAAGATGAAGATGAGCCGGAACAAGTGAAGTAGGAAAATTTAGATTCTGTAACATGTTCATAGTCTATCTAAATATTTCGAATAATGAGCATTTTATCTTTTGATCACTGGAATGTGATGCTCATTTACCTTCTCAAACACCAGACATGTAAATATTGATTTATAAAACTTATTTATATATTAATTAATGGTATTGTCTTAAACGGTGTTCTTAAAACCCGCAGCAAAGCGCGGGCATTCATGCTTGTGTAAGCAAAAAGCCAAAAGTAATTTTGACGTGCCACCCAAGTAATGGGTACACAGTTATAAGTATGGTTAATCATTTATAAACGGTTATGGGTATGAGTATAACCGTTTATGCAATTACTCAACGATTATGCGGGTATGATAAACAATTATGGGTAAATAACCACGGTTATCCGTCCGTCATAACCGTTGTCCATCCCTAACAACTCCCGGAACCGCCATCAGCAGCACCACCATTCACCGCCTTCTGTCCTCCCAGCAGCAACCCCAAAACTAGAAGCACAGCTGCACAAAGTAGCCTGAGAAAATCCATGGCAGATTGATGATTACAACACCACTTGGATTTAAATTGGCACAAAAGTGTTTACAGTGACCGACAACAAAAATATCGTTGTGACGGTATCCCAATTACTCGACGTAGTTTTTAGCTTTTACGCATGACAGTACGTCATCGGATTGGATTGCATGGAAGATCTTCTTCATGGACAGACAAAACAGCAGGTGAACCAAAAATACGAATATGATCATAATCAGAAGAAGGTTTTCCAGTCCATACCTCCATTGGTGTCTTACCCTGAATAGCAGCTGAAGGTAACCGGTTGATGATGTGACATGCATAATTAACTGCTTCTGTCCAAAATGACTTGCTTAAACCCGACTGAGACAACATACATCTAACCTTCTCAAGCAAGGTTCGATTCAATCTTTCTGCAACTTCATTTTGTTGTGGAGTTCCCCGAACACTAAAATGTCTCACAATTCCTTCCTCTTTGCAAACTTTAAAGAAAGGGTCGGATGTGTATTCACCACCATTATCCGATCTCAAAATCTTAATCTTTCTCCCAGTCTGGTTCTCAACCATTTTCTTCCAACTCAAGAAAATGCTCAACACCTCACTCTTGTGCTTCATAGTGTAGACCCAAGACCTTCTTGAATAATCATCAACAAAGGTCACGAACCAATGTCTACCACTCAAAGAGGGAGTCTTTGTAGGACCCCAAACATCCGAATGCACATAATCAAGAATGCCCTTCGTCTGATGTACAGCAGTACCAAACTTCACTCTAGTTTGCTTCCCCAAGACACAATGCTCGCAGAAATCAAGCTTACAAGTCGTGGCACCTTTTAGAAGACCTTGTTTCACAAGCCCTTGTAGAGCTTTCTCACCGGCATGGCCTAATCTCATATGCCACAGTCTAGTAGTATCTGAATCAGATGTGCCCATATTTTCAGAGACTACAAATGCTTCACCTGTCACAGTGCTTCCCTGCAATAAATACAAATGGCCACATCTAGGAGCTTTCATCACAACAAGTGCACCATAAGTAACTTTCAATGTCTGTCCATTTGAATGAAACCTGAAACCCTTGGATTCCAAAGTACCCAAAGAAATAAGATTTTTCTTCAAATTCGGTACATACCGAACACCTGTCAACTCTTTAACCATGCCATCATGCAACTTCAAACGAACTGTACCAATCCCTTTTGTTGTGCAAGGATTGTCATCTCCCATAAACACAACGCCACCATCAAACTCTTTCAAGCTTGAAAACCAATCCTTGTGAGGAGTCATATGATGAGTACAACCCGTATCCAACACCCATTTAGTAGCACAATCAAAAGATGAGGAAGTGGTTAAAGCAAAATCAGAAAAATCTGTTTCAACCTCAGCAACATTAGCTTCAGAACTTTCTTTGCCTTTGGTCTTCAATTTAGGATAATCTTTCTTCCAATGGCCCTTATTACGACAAAAGGCACATTCATCCATTTCCAAAGGTTTTCTACCTTTAGAGTTTCCTCTAGGTCGAGACTGTGATTTTTTCCTGCTAGAAGATGACCTCCTCTCCGATGATCTACCTCTAACAAATAAAGCTTCAGAGGTACTATCATGATTTTTATCTCTATGCCTCATTTCATAATTCATCAAGGCATTTGACACATCTTCAAATTTCACAGTTTCTTTACCATGCATAATAGTGGTAACAAAATGCTCGTAAGAGTCCGGCAAGGAATTCAACAATATTAAGGCCTTATCTTCATCCTTAATATCCTCATCTAAATTTAACAAGTCGGCAATCAACTTATTAAAAGCATCAAGGTGTCTAATCATTTTTGTACCTTCTTTGTATTGGAAGCGGTAGAGCTTTTTCTTCAAGTGTAGCCGGTTCTCTCTGCATTCTTCGTCATATACTTGTCTTCCAATTTTTGCCACAACACACTTGCTACCGTCTCCCGCATCACAAAATACTTCTGAGTTTTTGCAAGGCACAACCGAATTGAAGAGCAAGCCCACAAATTTAATTTCTCCCATTCCGACTTCGACATAGCTTCCGGTTTTTCTCCCAAAGCGGCAAGTAGATCTTGTTGAGCCAACACATCTTTAACCTCACATTGCCACATCCCGAAGTTGTTTGTGCCATCAAACTTTTCCACTTCGAACTTTGCATTTTGCACCGTAGTTCTTGCAAACCCGGAGGTGCTTTCAAAAGGATTTTCATCTTGCCCGTCTGACATCTTTGGCAACTAGACAGTACCCAAGAGCAACCAGTGCTCTGATACCAATTGTTGTGCTAGGATAGCACCAAACCCGTTGGAACCAACTCAAGCTAACCCACAAGAAATTTATCAAATGAAATGCAAGAACAAAATATTAAAGACACCAAGATTTTAACGAGGTTCCTCAACAGTCAGTGTAACTGGAGTACGTCCTCGGAGCAGTAAGAGCTCACCCAATAATCCACTATCAACCAAATGGGAGTTTACGAAGTGTTGGCAATCTCACAACCCAAATAACCCAATACACCCAATAACTCTCACACACCACAGAAACAAATAGAGAAAGAAATATAATGAATAATTTCTTCTCTATACATGTAGCTCAAAGCTATTACAACAATAACTATGATGGATGATTGCTAACAAAAAAGAAGAGCACATTCTTCTTCCTTTCAACAAAGGATTGCTGCACCCTTTCTATTTTCTGATGCTCTGCAGCTTGCACTCCTTTTTCTCTGCAGCTCTCTTCTCTCTTCTCTCTTCTGCTCTAATCTGAAAATTGAGCTCTCTTTTTCTTCTCCTCTACCGAAACAAAACAATGAATTATTATTCAAAACAAGCCATCACTTTCGGCTAATAAAAAACCACAAAAGAAGAAAAACATCATCATGATGCCTCCTCATCATGATGTCTTTATAATTTTATAACCAAAAGTTTTTTTCTTTTCCTTTTTTTAATAGCCGAAAGTTGTTTGTTTGGGCCATAATTCAACAGTGCACTGGGTACGACCTTTTTTTTTTTATCATTTATTAATCAACTGTCGTTACACTTTATAAATTATCTCTGTCTTCTCTAGGTATAAGATGACCTCGACACTGATGTCCCTGATTTATTAGAATCTCAAAATCATGGTAATGATATAGTTTCCCCTTGATAACTTCATGGATCCAGTTTTAGTTTTCTGGTTACTAATAGTTGCAACTCACTTGAATTTATGTTCCTGACATTGAAAGACATGGTTTGCATGAGACGAAGTCCAGAAAATACATTGTTGCAACAATCCAGACATATTCTATTCATAAGCCTTGTCTAACGCTGCATACGGAGCGTGAATGTAAGAATGCCCCAGACACAGTTGAAGGTGGTAAGACAAGAACGGAGCACAGAAAGGTTATTGTAAGTTCTCATTTCAAGGATAAGTCAATCAATAAACACAATCCGGAAGATAAACAAGAAAAGCAATTGCTAAAGGATGATCTTGCTATTGTTATGCACGAGGATGCAGTTCCTGAGAGTGCTTAGTTTGAGAATAGCTATTTTAAAGGCAAAGTTGCGAAAAGGACAACCTCCCCACATGACAACGTTCAAATGGTAGGCGTTTTCCTCTCTCTTTTGATTTTATGCTTATAACGTTAGTGTCTGTGACTGTTTTTCGTATAACACTAATGTTTAACTACTTCAGGAAAATGTGAAACTAAAACAACTGTGTATCAGTGCATCCCTTCCAGATGATGGTAAGTGTTACTCGAAACTCAGAAAAAATAGTAGAGCACTCTTGTTCACTTACTGATCCATGCTAATGCCAAGCTTCTTATCTTATATCGTATTGAATCTTTCATCTGAGCAAATATTTTGTTTTGTTTCTTCAATGTAGGTTCCTGTGCATCTAGCCTGAACAAAACAATTACAGACACAAATAAAGAAGGAAAATTCAGATCCAATATTTCCCTTTTAGGCCGTTATTCAGATATAGCGAAGAAATCAATGGAAAGATATGTATCAGTAATATCATCATTTATATTTTCCTCGTCTAGTTCTCATGCAAGTGGCCTTCGTGCTCCTCTGAAAGATGTCCAAAACACCGGTACCAATAGGTAATGCCTGTATTGTGTATGGACGACTTAATTTTAAAGTTCAATGCCTTTCTACAGCTAACATGGACTTGATCTTTGTATTGCAGACCAACTGTTGATGATGACTTTAGCAAATTTGAATACGTACCAAGTAATCGAAAAACTTTCCCAGCATCTCGCAAGCGCTGTTTTAGACCGGTTTAAAGCAAAACAGTGAGGCTGTGAGCATCCATGTGATCCATTTATTTTGAAATTCAAAACTTGGGGACTACAATTGTTGACAGCACGTAAATCCTCTGTCTGCGTGTGTGTGTGTGTGTGTGTGTGTGTCTAGGATGTCGCTTTCCTATATCTGAGTGTATATATAGTTGACCATTAGCAGATTTATCTTTTCTTCTTTTAGCTGATAGCAACACGAACCCTATTTCAAAAGGATAAGATTAAGGCAGGCAAATTAAGTACCTTGTGCAACTGAAAAAGCACCTAGCTATCACTATAATCAAAGACTTCTGATTATATCTGGAAGTTCCGTGTAGGCCTTTTTCTTCCACACTTTGGAAATGGAAATGGAAAAATATAAGGATGTAAGATTTTTCTGTTAAACGAAGAAATACTATTGATTAATGATAGCGTGAAAGAGCTGTAAATTCCGACGTCCATAGTTTGAATCGGTTTCCAGCCCTGAAGCCAATTGTTGAGGAGGGGTGAAATTTAAAAAGGTAAAATTGTGGTCAGCGAGGTTTCTTGTCATGAAAATATCAGATAATATGCTCATTCACTACAAAGGAAACGTTATTAGTGAGGGTCAAATGTTGTTGGAAAAGTATTCTGCCATCGGAAAACTTTTTGAAAACTTTTTTCCAAGAGAAAAAGTTTGTCGTTGGTCGTCGGAAATTCTTCTAATGGAAATACTTTTTTTCCAACTAGTCGTCAAAAAAACACATTTCTAACGCCAATCACTCTTCAGTTTTGGTTAAATCCTTGTAATAATTGAATTTTAAAAGTTTATTAATCCATTAAATGAAAGAGTTTTTTTTTTGTCAATGCAGTGCAAATATAGTTTACATGTGAGCACATCTAAGGATTTCAAACTCACAATGTCACCAATTTAACAAATTATCGTACAATTAATTAGGTCGAAGACAAAATTATTACACTTTCAATATCTTATGGCGCAATATAAGAAATTTAAAACTGCAAATCACTTTAAATATGAAAACTGTAAATTGTAGTTAATCCAATTTTTAAGGGAAACTCTAAATAAATACGTTCTTCATTTTATTACTCCTTTGAATAAGATCAAAATGGTCACAATCACAATTATCATATAAGTAAGAGATAAAGTTTTGTGTTAAATATTAATATCTACACAAGGTGACTGCATGTGCAACTAGATTTTTTTTTTTTTTGAACAAAAACAATATTATCTACATTAATGAAAGGGGAGTAAGCTTAGCTTCATAATGAGCTAACAATAATATGATTTAAATTTGCATTTGGTAATAATCGCACTTAAAACATCTCACTTATAAGCAAAGAGGAATTCTTTCGCCTTTGTCGTTGGTTGTCAAAAATTCTCCTGTTATTTTTTATTAAGTCAAATTAATTTTTTTTTATCCCATATGTAAAACAACGTTGTTTGGCCTGGGTATTAAAAAAAAAAAAACAAAAACTTGCAGCAGTAGCGCCACCCAGGCTCATAACCAGAGGGCGCGGTCCCTCAATTTTAGTGTCGATTTTTTGCGACTGAAGATGCGGCCGTATCTCCTTGCGCCACATGACTTTCCCACTACTGACTCAATGGGTTCGTATATGTAGTTTGTAGGTGATTATATATATCGAAAATTAACTAAAAATTTTACACAGATAACATTAAGAGTGAGTCATAACGATTTTCTCGTTTTCAAAAACAGAATCTTAGTGGTTTGTTTTTTGTGTGTGCGAATCAGTCATTGTTGAGTTACTATATTAGCATTTAGCACCTTTGTGCTCCCATTTGGACAAATGCATGAAAACAACTTCTGTTATATCTTAAATTCAGGTCTCATAAAATAATGCTTATGAATTATGATATGTTGCCATCAAATCTTCTGATTAATTCAATTTAATTTTAGAGTTCCTACCTAACTAAAGTTTGACAACTTTAAAAGATAAAAGAAAGATGCTTCTCTATAATTTTATGCCAAAAATTCATTCGCTTCCCAACAACCACTCATTTTGTTCAAATTATCAAAACATATCCTTTAATTAATTAACTAGCATTCATGCACATGCTCACGCGCATGCAGAAGGTATTTTTTTAATCACGGCGCGCTAAGCGCAATTTACACATTTTAAATGTATTTGTATGCGTAAATTAACAAAAGGAAAGTCAAATATTTGAAGTAAATGAATAATCTTAGATCATGCTAGAAGAAACCCCTCATAAACCAATTAAAGCAGCTGAATTCACATAATAAAATCGATCTTTATAGAATTTACATTAAGAATAGAGAAGATAATATTTAATAAACAATTGATTGAATCACATTATTGCTAGCCCATTATGAGGCTAAGCCCATACCCTCCCCCATTAGTGTAGATAATATCGTTTGTTAAAAAAAAATTCATTTGACAACTAATTTAATCACATTATTTTCCGCGTGCGAAAGACCTTTTTATAACCGTCATTTAATAAACAATTGATTGAATCACATTATTTCTAGCACATTGTGAGGCTAAGCCCACCCCCTTCCCCCTTAGTGTAGATAATATCGTTTGTTAAAAAAAAACAATCATTTGACAACTAATTTAATCACATTATTATCCACGTGCAAAATACTATTTTTATAAGCGGCATTGCACGCATCTTAAGATGTTTTGAACGTGTTTAAAATAGATAAAATAATATTTAATAAACAACTGATTGAATCACATTATTTTTAGCCCATTGTGAGGCTAAACCCACTTCCTCCCTCTTAGTGTAGATAATATCGTTTGTTAAAAAAAAACACAATCATTTGACAACTAATTTAATCACATTATTATTCACGTGCGAATGACCTTTTTTATAACTGGCATTACACGCCTCTTAAGATGTTTTGAACGTGTAAAAAAAAACAATCATTTGACAATTAATTTAATCACATTAGTATCCCCGTGCAAATGACCTTTTTTATAAACGGCATTACACGTCTCTTAAGACTTTTTGAACGTGTTTAAAAATAGAGAAATTGAATCAAATTATTACTAACCTATTGTGAGGTACTAATTATAAAAATAAATAAATAAATAAAACACACATGTACAAAAAAATTAATTATTAAAACAATACTATTTAAATGATGAAAATGCCCCTACCTTATTTAATGCATTATTTTGGGAAGCCTTTGAAATTCTTTGTTTTGGGGGCATTTTTGTCCAATTTTTTTGTTGAAACTTGGTGACACCAAAACACTATTCACATCACACACTTTTTTTATAACCGGCATTACACGCCTCTTAAGATGTTTTGAACGTGTTTAAAATAGAGAAAATAATATTTAATAAACAACTGATTGAATCACATTATTGCTAGCCATTGTGAGGCTAAGCCCACCCCCTCCCCTTAGTGTAGATAATATCATTTGTTAAGAAAAAAACAATCATTTGACAACTAATTTAATCACATTATTATCCGCGTGCGAATAATCTTTTTTATAACCGGCATTACACGCCTCTTAAGATGCTTTGAATGTGTAAAAAAAACAAACACTTGACAACTAATTTAATTACACTATTATCTGCATGCAAATGACATTTTTTATAACCGGCATTACATGCATCTTAAGTGTCACATCCCGGCCTGGGCCCCCACCACATCCCGGGCTCGACTCTACCATAGCACGATATTGTCCGCTTTGGGCCCCAACCACGCCTTCACGGTTTTATTTCTGGGAACTCACACGAGAACTTCCCAGTGGGTCACCCATCTTGGGATTGCTCTCGCTTAAACTCGCTTAACTTCGGAGTTCCAATGAACTCCAAAGCTAGTGATCTCCCAAAAGGCCTCGTGCTAGGTAGAGATGGGAATATACATATAAAGCTTACACGATCCACATCCCTGGACGATGTGGGATGTTACAATCCTGAGCTCGACTCTACCGTAGCATGATATTGTTCGCTTTGGGCCTCAACCACACCCTCACGATTTTATTTCTGGGAACTCACACGAGAACTTCTCAGTGGGTCACCCATCCTGGGATTGCTATCGCGCAAACTCGCTTAACTTCAGAGTTCTGATGAACTCCGAAGCTAGTGAGCTTCCAAAAGGTTTCATGCTAGGTGGAGATGGGAATATACATATAAGGCTTATAGGATCCACACCCCTGGGCGATGTGAGATGTTACATTAAGACTTTTTGAACGTGTTTAAAAATAGATAAATTGAATCACATTATTACTAACCTATTGTGAGATACTAATTATAAAAGTAAAAAAATAAAACACACAAGCACAAAAAAAAACTAATTATTAAAAAATACTATTTAAATGACGAAAATGCCCCTACCTTATTTAATACATTATTTTGAGAAGCCTTTAAAGTTTTTTGTTTTGAAGGCATTTTTGTCCAATTTTTTTGTTGAAGCTTGGTGACACCAAAACACTATTCATATTTTCTTCTCTCTTTATATATAATTAGCCTCTATGCACGCACGTGCATAATGCATTTTTTGAATCACGACGTACTACGCGCGATTTACATGTTTTAAATGTATTTATTAATGTAGATGGAAATGAATAATAAATACATTTAATAAAAGTGGTCTTTTAACTAATCAAAACAACTGAATCCATATTAATAAAAGCAGTTTTTCAATTTCCATCAACATTTTATTGAATTTACATTAAGATTAGAAAAATAATATTTAATAAACAATTGATTGCTAGCCCATTGTGAGGCTAAGGTCACTCCCTCCCCTTAGTGTATATAACATCGTTTGTTAAAAAAATGATCATTTGACAACTAATTGAATCACATTATTATGCGCGTGCAAGAGACTTTTTAATAACCGGCACTACGCACTTCTTAAGTGTTTAAAAATGGAGAAATAATATTTAGTAAATAACTACATGCAAAAGGCATTTTTTGAATCACAATGCGCTACGCGCGACGTATACATTTTAAATGTATTTATATGCGTGAATTGCTTCAATATTTTTTTATTTCGTTATTTTCTTTTTTTATCAACAGCGATACGCGCCTCTTAAGATGTTTTGAACACAACATTCATGATTTCTTATTTTTTATTATATTTTTCTTCCCCCATCACATGGGCACCATCAACTTTGTCATCTGTTTATTTTTTTCTCTCTTACCTTTCATCTTTTTATTCTTTTCTCTCTTCCCGCTTATATTTATATTATATTTTATGATAATCAAATTACCAAATTACCCTTGCATGATTTGATATATTATTTTAGGTTGGTTTTGAATTTTTTTGGTTGAGGGGCATTTTGATCCAGTTATTTTTGTCGAAGCCGGTGAATTCAAATTCCACTGTTCACTGCCTCTGGTTTTATATATAGATAATAATAATAGATATACAG